AAGGAGGCCTTGCGTTGGATGACATACACAAGGTAGAGCGCGAGGGTCATGTCCGATGCTGGCAAGAACGTTAGGTTGACCTTCGTGCAGAAGGCACGGAACTTCACCCAGTAAGGCTCGTATGTTCGGATGGTCGAGTCGGCACGAGAGCGGGCGAGCATGGAAAGCAGGTCATGTTGGAGCTTTAGAAGCAGATCTGGGGACAGACAAGGGAGTCTAGTTAGTCAAATATCACGCGGAGTGCGACGATAGTGCTGTTGGGTAATCCTGTGCCTGAGAATGCTTGACTATGTGTGCCGACTGTAAGACACTGGCTGCCATGTGTAAGAGGGATATGTGCTTGGATGTGTGGGTCCCACGATGGAGGGGAGGGCTGGAGGAGCGGCCACCAGCTTGCGCCAGGCCAGTGTGGGACTATGAGGGTGAGAGATGTGCTCGTGCGTTGTGCGTGATGGAGTACTGCGGTGATGAGTTGGGGCGGTGGGAATGCAAAGCTGTTCTCAGCCGTCCAGGCAAGTGAGAAGGCGTCGGCTGCTGTGGCATCGGGGTGGGGGACCTTAGAGCAGAAACGCAGCAGGTGTGCATTTTGGGGGTTGGCGAATAAGTCAATGGAGTGGGGGCCCCAGCGACGCTCGAGGAGGCGAAACCATGGGAACTTCAACGAGTAGTCATCGTGGTCGACTAGCTTGGAGAGCTCGTCTGCGCGACCATTCAGATCGTGTGGGATCCATTCGATGATTAGCCGAATCTCGAACTCCATGCATTTTTGGATGATGCATTTGCACGTGGTGGTGAGGTCGGGACTTCGTGAACCTCCTTTGCGAAGGATGAAGAACACGCCCTGGTTGTCCACCCGCACTAGCACGTGTTTCTTCCGGATTCTAGGCGCGTACGTCTGTAGCGCCCACAGCACGCCGGCGAGCTCTCTTTGTGTGCTGGAAGTTGGATGAAGGGCTCTGGGCATTGCCGTGCTGGCCTCTATCGCGGCTCCAGGGAATGTGTTCAGCGTGGCACCCCAGCTGTGGGCACTTGCGTCTACGTGGATGACTGCATCGTAGCTGTGCCGCACATGGAACGGGGCACCGTTGAAACGGTCGAACTCTTGGATCCAGAATCTCAGCTCTTCGATGACGGGTGGGGAGAGGATGACCATGCTGGTCCATGTCGGCGCGTCGTTGATTGTTTCTAGCATGGCGTGGCTGAACGCTCGGGTGGTGGTGCCTAGTGCGACAGCCATCGATGCCAGCATGCCTGTAACTCGGACCAGTTGCCGGACTGGGACTTTCCGCTGAGCTGAGCTTGCGCGCAGTAGGGCATGGAGGGTGGCGTTGAGTGTGGATCGCCGCTCCTCGCCGATGGAGAACCGGCTGGCCTGTGTGTCAAGTTCTACGCCAAGGAACCGAAGGTGCTGTGTTGGTATCAGCTTTGACTTTTTTGAGTTGAGTACGAGCCCGGCAGCCTTGAGATCGATAACGATCCGTTGGCACGTGGCTTGAGCGTGTGCCTGGGTCGGGCACAGGAAGAGGATATCATCCACGTAGGGTATCACGCGGACCCCCTGCTCCCGCCATCACCGAGCTAATTGCTTGATGAGCTGCGTGAAGACGAATGGTGCTGTGGCGAGGCCGAACGGCAAGGATCGGAAGGCGTATGTGCACCCGTCGAATTCAAAGCCGAGGAACGTCCAGCACGAGGGATGGATGTCGACATGGTGATAGCCTGATTTCAAGTCGATGGAGAACATCCAATCTCCTTGGCGGGCGAGGTCCGCTACGCGGTTGAGTCCCTCATATTTAAATTTGGGGACGATTATTGCGTCGTTCACCTTTCAGAGATCCAAAATCAGGCGACACTTGTCTTTCTGCTCGACCACGTTGAGTGGGCTTATGCATCTCAGTTTCGCCGCAGGAATTTGGATGGCCGCGCCGGTCTCGGTGAGTTCAAGGATGGCCGTGCGTGTGAATGCTGCGTGCGCCGGCATGGTTGCGATCGTGAAAGGCCGGCGGCGGCCCGAGTTTCCATGGCATCCAGTATCCTTTGGCAATGACTGAGAGGATGAAACTGCTAGTGCACCACGAGCTCCACCAAGCGAACGTGGTACGTAGGCGGCCACGCATTTGGGTGACCATCTTGTCAGTAACCGCGTATTCGTAGGGGTCACTGTTGTGAGCGCATTCGCGAAGACTGGTGCCTGTGGGAGTGCCATCATGCAAGAAGAAGCAAGGGACGAATACTTGAGTTTATCTGCAGGGCTGATGCCTGCCGGAAACCTAGAGCGTGGGGGGGGGGGAGTGTGAAGCCTAGTGGCTGAGGAGGGCGTGCCGGGTTGAAGTGCCACATGCGAGCAAGATGCTTAGGTCGGTGGTTGCCTGCGCTTTGAGCGGGTCTGAGCGGCGTGACCTGCGTGTGTGTCGGTTTGCACGCCCGCGCATGCCGAGCTTGCATTCGAACCTGAGCCCCGACGTTTGCTTCCCTTTGTGCCCTCGTATTCCCACAACTTGTGCCTTCACTCGCGCTTCTACTCGCGAACGCATGTTACCCTCTTATTGCCTCCTTCGCTTGCGTTCTCATTTCTTGGGTTTTGAGACTCAACGCCCATGTTTTTTTTTTTTTTTTTTTCTGTCTTTCTTCTAGCCACCTCTTGTGTGCTTGTGTGGCATGCGTGCGGTGTTTTGTTGCTGTTCCCATTCGTGGGCCATACCGCGTGCGTGCGCGCATGCTTATGTGACTCGTTTTTTTTTTTTTTTTTTTCCAATGCCAAGCTGGGCAGCCCTAGATGAGGCTGGTGTGGCTGTTCCTGTATGCCCACGGCGGGGTAATGCGTAGGGTCCAGGGTGTAGCACACCGGGTTGGAGGGTAGGCGCCTTGTAAGGCTCGCATAATGCTTGAATTCTGTTTTTTTGTTTTTTTGTTTTTTTGTCTTTTTTTTTTTTTTTTGCATGTCCAATCGGGGAGCAACTCTGTGTGGGTAAGTGGCAGGCCATTGGTGTTCCTGATGGCCTTCCTTCTCTGGCCGGGGGTGCTGCATGACATGCAGCGGGGGTTGAGCCACCCACTATGCTTCCCCGTTCCGTGCTCAATCCCCCCCCCCCCCCCCCCCCTTTTTTTTTTTTTTTTTTTTTTTGCTGCGCCTCTTATGGTGCTGCTCCCCCATTTCTCTGGTTATATTAGGGGACCAAGACCTGAAAAAAAATGAAGGACCGCGGCTCCTTATTTTAACCAAGCTTCATCTCTACTCAACCATGCTCCTAGGCGTGCAAAGTCCGCCTTGCAAGGTCGGGCTATCATTTGGGACCGAGGGGGTATGTTCCCCTTCCCTTGCTCTGAGCCTAGGGCCTTCGATTGGCCTACACTAGGGCTGGCCCTCTGCCACCCGTGCCCCTAAGGGGTGGGCCCAATGGCCTACGCACACACCGGGTGCCTTGCGCCTTGCGCCACTTGCGCAAGCGCCCATGGCCCGACCCCTACACCACTGGTGCGGGTCCTTGGCCGCCATGCCCAATCGCCGGGCAGCCGCTGGCCACATGCCCCGGCTGGCCACAGCGAAAGCAAGTGCCTCGGAAGCCACGGAATTCTCCCGTAGGCGGCGGACCACGCTTTGGCACGAACGGCATGGGCATGCGGCCGCCTCCACGATTTCCACGAGCAAACCCGCCCTCGGCGCGGTCCATTGCGGCCAAGTCAGCGACGGCCTGCTTGAAAGGCCTTGAGGTAAGCAGACTCTTCTGCTGGTACAGCTTGAAACGCTTGGCCGTGCGGAAGTCGGAGGCGTCTTCGACTTGGAGAACTTCGAAGCGTCGCGATATGAGGGCGAGCGCGTCGGCGAGGAATTCGAGGCCGCCCGGCGCGTCGCCGTGCTGCACCTTGAACTCGGCGTGCTTCAGGTATGCCCGAAGGTCCTCCAGGACTTCCGCTTGCTCGCGCACGGCCGCGTTGAGGAAAGACGCCGCCGAGAGGGTGGTGTTAGTGGACGGGAGTGGTGGGAGGTGCTCCATGGGAATTGAATTTGCAACAGTGCCGGGGACCTCACCAGCGTCATTGTCGGAGTCGTCGCTGTCGTTGTCGGCCGCCGGGGCAGGCGGGATGCTGGCGACGGCGTCTTTGGCGAGGCGTGGCGTCTTGGTTCTGCGTGTGGCCTTTTCTGTTTTTGCAGGTTCTTTTTTAGCAGATTCAGAAGCAACAGGTTGAGCAGTTTTGGCGGCCGTAACACTTGTCGCCTGCTGCTGTAACAGCGTCAACAGCGCGTTGACCTGCGCAGGGGTCAACGACGGGGTCAATGTCGGGGTGGGCGGCACATCAGACGAGGCAGCCGCGCGCCCCCTTTTTCGCTGGCGAGAAGGACCCGCCACTTGCAGGGCTGGCGCGTGCTGCTGCTCGGCGTCAGGCGCGAGTGGCTGGCTCTGCCCAGCCACTTGCGCGTGTGGCTCAGAAGGGGGCGGGGGCGCGTTAGCAGGCTGACTGTTGACCTCGCCCCCTCCCAGCAGAACGTCAACCCCAGTTGGGGCGGCCGCCCCTTCTTCTGCCCGACGCTTGTTGCGCCGGTCGCCCGCAATTTCCGGGGCTTGGCGAGTAGACTCGGAATTGGGGTGGCCGGTGACGACGTTGGACTCGCCGCGATTATTCGTAGTCAGAGCCATGACGGATCGGTGAAACTTAAAAATGTCGGAGAGAAGAGTCGAGGGAGACTCGCCGTGAGGCAAAGTTCTAGTCTTAGCCAGCTTGAACGGGAGAAAAGCTAGAGCGGGAAAGTTGACTGAGCCGTTTGAAAAATGAGAGACGTGGGTGGAGGTAAATGAGCTCCAACCCACGTATATGTAGTTGGAGAAGGGCGAGTAGCGCGCTTCGACGATGCCCAACGCTTCAGTACAATCAGCTTCGCTTTCACAATACACAATTTTTGAAAAACACTACGTGTGTTAAAAATTATAATATTTTGTTATATAATTGGTAGGCTTGGTAGGTGTTATTGCCACCAACCGTAGAGGGTACAACCCCCCTCCTTGTATGCCTCTCTTCTATTCTCCCTCTCTTTTCTCTTGTCAACTTTCCTAGCCTAAACCCTCACGCCATTCCATGGCCGCCTACCCTTCCTAGCTACCTAGCTTTTATGACACTTAGGCCAACTCTGATAAATCAGAGAAAATCTATACTTTTAAAATTTTACCCAAGACCATCAGAGTGGTTTAAAAAAACGACTCTGATTTCCAGAGAATCAGTGATTTACTCTTATAATATAAGCCCTGGTGGGGAGGGGGAGGGGGACTTATTGCTGTTCGATCTAAGCGAAAACACGAGCTACCGTACTTGAAGCATCTCCCAACCCAGTTGCGTAGGTTGTTGGTTGCTGCTGCCTTATCCACACAAAAGGCGGCCTTCAGCCGGTCCAAAGCCATCTCAACAGCCTCTGACTGAGTCAACTCGCCTTTGACTGGGTAAACTCCAGAGCTACATGAACCATCTTCCAGCGGCGTATTTGGATTGGTTGTTGGTGGCTGCCTTATCCAAGAATGGCCCTACGAACCAATTGCGCGCGTCGAGGAACCACCAGACGAGGAAGAAGGAGACAACCGCGAAAATGCCGACGCACGCGTAGTTGAAGTTGGTTGCGGTGATGGGGAAGGTCACCGGCAGCATAAAGATGCTGACTGTAAAGAGGACAAAAAAGATGGCTCCAACGTTCATGAGTCTCCTGTGGGGGGAGAGAGAGGGGTGGGGCAGAAGGGAAAGGGAGAGGACAAGATAGAGGGCGGGGGAATGAGAGGGACAAGACCGAGGGATGAACACCAGCAGCATAGAGATGCAGACTGTATACAGGACAAAGAGGATCGCTCCGATGTTGATGAGCTTCCTGCAGTTGATGAGCTTCTTGCAGTTGCATAGAGGTTGACAGGGTGGAAGGACTAGAGAGGGGGGTCCTTGAGAGGGGGGCGAGGGTCCTTGAGAGGGGAGAGAGGGTTCTTGAGAGGGGTGAGAGGGTCCTTGAGAGGGGGGCGAGGGTCCTTGAGAGGGGAGAGAGGGTCCTTGAGAGGGGAGCGAGGGTCCTTGAGCGGGGAGAGAGGGTCCATCGGCTCACCTGCCCCACACTCCGACGTATTTGGAGAGATAGAACGGCCCCGGTTCGAAGTCCTCCTCCCTCTGGATGAGGCGGAAGAATATCGGGACCGCATAGCCCCCCACCCAGGCGACGGTGGCCAGCGAGGTGATGGCGGTGAAGAGGTAGGCGTCCTTGAGCAGGGGTAGCGAGAAGAGGATGGCCACGCCGCAGCAGAGCCACACGGAGTAGATGGGCGTCTTCTCGCGGTTCACCCGCCGCCACAGGTAGGCGAAGGGGAGACCTTTGTCTCGGGATATGGCGTATGCCTGAACCAGGGGGCATGGGGCATGGAAAGGTGGACAGGGAGAGGAGAGTGAGGTGGAGTGTGGTGTGGTGCGGTGTCGTGGTTCACGCGCGAAGGGCAAGCGCTTGTCAAGTATCTATCTACCTGCACCAGGTGAGTACTTCTTGCGGAAAGGTACCAAGCGAGATTAACATGCATAAGAGGAGGGGGTCGAAGATGAGCGAGCACAGGGAGGGGGTCGACGATGAGCGAGCACAGGGAGGGGGGGAGGGATGGGGAGCTCCCTGCTTGGACGCGCCAGAAATCCCAGCAAAGATGTCAAAGAGGAGATCGACATAGATGAGAGAGATTAACAGGCATGAGAGGAGGGGTTTGGAGGTGAGCAAGCACCGGGAGGGATGGGGATGGGGATGGGGATGGGGATGGGGATGGGGAACGTACCGCTCGAGACGCGGCAAGGATCCCCGCGAAGACGCCAAAGAGGAACGCGACGTAGATGAGTGACAGCAGCACCACTGCCCCTGTGCCGGTGCCAAAGCTGTGGTGGGTCCGAGGAAGAAGCAGTGGGGCGAAGTGGCGTGCATGGGATAAAGGATGGTGTAAGAAGAAAGGGGAACAGGAAAACGATGGTTGGATGCACACACATACAGGCACACACGGACAGTCACAGGCACAGATCATTGCCACACATCAAACTAATTACCGAGCCACATACCAAACTACTAAGTGCCATTTTTCAAGTCATTTTTCAAGCCAAATTTTCTATCCAAACTACAACTGGCAGAGCCACTCACCAAGCCAGGAGGACCTCTCAAATGATGGCCACCGGGTATCTGCTCCTCCCCGGTCACACTGCCCGGGCTGGTGAGATCATCATCATCCCGGATGCACACCGTGAAGGCCCACCAGCAGCCCCCATGCGAGCAGGCTCACCACGGTTGACTCGAGAGATACCTCACTCACTGAGCCACTCACCGAGCCAGAAAGACCTCCCAAATGATGGTAACCAGAATCTGCTGCCCCCCGGTGACACTGTCTGGGCTGGTGAGATTAGCGTCATCCTGGATGCAGAAGGTGAACGCCACCAGCAGCCCCCATGCCAGCAGGCTGACAGCTGAGAGGCAGAGCACCATGCTGGCGGGGGAGGTGCGGTCGGAGCGCTTGGTCTCCTCCGCCATGTGCGCCACCGTGTCGTAGGCGTACAGCGAGTACTGCGACAGTTGCATCGCTGCCACGAAGGCATACGCCTGGGGGGGGGAAGCGAGGGGGAAAGGACGGCAGTGAATAGAGTGAGAGACAGGTGAATGGTGGCTGTGTGCTCCTCCGCCATGTGGGCCACCGTGCCGTAGGCACTGAGGAGTACTGCGACAGCTCCATCGCTGCCACGAAGGCGTATGCTTGGGAGGTTGAGGAGGGAAAGGGAGACGGGGGATGGGGTTACAGGTGGATAGGGGTGGGGTTGCATGAGCACACTAACTCCCATGTGGGCCACGGTGTCGTAGGCGTAGAGTGCGTACTGAGGACGACCACAGCTGCATTGTCGCCACAAGGGATGCGCCTGGAGGGGGGGAAGGGGTGTGGATGAGGAAGAGATGGCATGAGCACGTTGGCTGCCATGCCGTGTGTCGTCAGTGATTGAGGCACCTCGAAACTCGTCTCAGGTGATTTTTGAGAATTCTTGAAAATCACCTACGGCATGCATGAGCACGTGAGGAGCCTATTTTTGAGGCGCCTCAAAAATAGACTCCTCAAAAATAGTCTCAGGTGATATTTGAGAATTCTCGAAAATCACCTACGGGCTACGGCATGAGCACGATAGCTACCATGCCAGCCATGTGCCGTCGTCACTCATGGTTTTGATTGAGGCGCCTCAAAAATCGTCTCAGGAAGGGATGGCATCAGCACGTTAGCTGCCATGTGGGTCACCAAGTCAGGGATTAGGGTTAGTATATGCATGTGCATGTGCATGTGCATGTGCATGTGCTTATCCTATGACTAAACCTGAAATCGTATACCAATGTGGGGCTGAAGAGCCCACGGGGGAGTGCTGGGAGATGCATGGGTGGGAAAGATGCATGGGTGGGAGAGAGAGATGCATGGCTGGGAGGGATGCATGACTGCCACGAACGTGCGTGGTAGGGCAAACCAGTGCAAATGTAGAAACTATAGAATTAACCTCCCCACTCACTCCCCAATCGACTCAGGAAGGGATGGCATAAGCACGTTGAAGAGAGACTGAGCCTTTCAATGAAACTCCGAACTCACCCATTCAACCTTTGCCTGATCACATTAAAGAGAGCATCTGAGATTTTGAATTAAACTCCATACTCACTCATTCAACCTTCAAGTTGCCTGATCACATTGAAGAGAGCATCCGAGCTGGGTGATTCTGACTGGTAATGGCTGAAAAGGGCAGTACAAATCAGTACAGGAGGTGCAGAGCGGTACTACTCACCACAGTGGGCAGCAGGGAGACGTCTAGCTGCACGTCATAGTGAGTGAAGACGAAGGATGGCGTCTGGTGCACAGGCGCTACTGATGGCAGCAGAATCATGATCACTATGGCGAGACCCATCTGGGAAGGAAGGGAGAAGCGTTGGTCAGGGAGAGAGGGCGGAAGAAGGGGTGATGGGATGACTTGGTGCATGCACCGGCGCTACTGATGGCAGCAGAATCATGATCACTATGGCGAGACCCATCTGGGAAGGAAGGGGGGAAAGCATTGACCGGGGAAAGAGGGTGGAAGACGGGAGATGGGATGGGATGACTTGATGCACTGGTCCTGCTATGATGGCAGCAGAGGCAGCAGAGACGGGAGCAGAGGCAGCACCGGTCCTGCTATGATGGCAGCAGAGGCATGATCGCCTCTGCAGGCTGTGTTAGGTTGTTGAGAATTATCATTATCACCAAAACGCAGCAGACTCATAATCCCCACTCCAAGGCCCATCTGGGCAATAAAGGCAAGGTAGAATAGAAGCAAGAAAAAAGTAAGGGGGGTTGGAACTGTACAAACTAGATGCTGCTGTGCACAGAAGAACCAGAGTCAACGGGCTAGGAGTCTAGTTTTGAGGCGCCTCAAAACTAGATTCCTGTCACGCGGTAGAAGCAAGAAAGAATAAGGGGGGTTGGATTGGAACTGAAAGAACTAGATGCTGCTATGCACAGAAGAACCAGAGACAACAGGGCTACCTGTCAGGGCCCACAATAGAAGAGTAAACATCCGGAAATTCACACAAATTCCGGATGTTTTTCAGCCGAATCCGGATTCAAGAGGAAAAAAAAAAAAAAAAAAAAAAAAAAAAAAAGAGGCCGTTTTTTCACCAGTTCAAGGCGTTTCCAAATCGCCAGGCTAAATCCTAATAAAACATAGGATATTAAAAACGCATGGTACTATAACATCCCTCCTGGAATTGAAGCATTTAGACATCGAATCTTGGGGAATCCGGATTAAAAAAAACTCAATCGTGAGCCCTGCTACTACCTGTGCTGCGCTGTCAACAGGGTGAAACAGGAAGGTGAATGCACCGTGCTTCCAGGATGTTATGTTTCATAGATGGTAAACAGCGCTCATTGCAGCCAGCCGGCCGGTGATTTTGATTGAGGAGGAGTTGAGGAGGAAATGAGGTGTGGCGTGGCACGGCACTGCATGCAACATACACGCATACCTGGTAGACCGCGCTCATGACGGCCAGTCGGCCGATGACCTTGATTAAGGAGTTGAGGAGGAAATGAGGTGTGGCGTGGCACAGCGCTGCATACAACATACATGCATACCTGGTAGACCGCGCTCATGACGGCCAGTCGGCCGATGACCTTGATGAAGGAGTTGAGGAGGAAATGAGGTGTCGAGTGGCACGGCGCTGCATGCAACACACATACATACCTGGTAGACCGCGCTCATGACGGCCAGTTAGACATGGTCAAAATGCGATGCGATGCGATATCGCATAGCATTTTGACTTATCGCGCATTATTCGTGGCGATGCGATTTTTGAAAAAACCCAAAATCGCATATCGCGTTTTATGTGCGATATTTGTAAATATCACGCTGTCTGTAGAGTGCGATATATTGCGCGATGCGATAAAATATCGCATCGCCGGGGCTAAATTTCAGGGTTAAGTAAACTACAGCAGCAATTTGGATAGTCAGATAACTGGGAACTGCCGAAGGGTTTCAAACAGGGGCACAACACACCATTACAACGTCGCTTCTAATAAATAAACAGCAAAAAAAAATTGGCGAGCTCCAAATATCGCGGGCGATTTTTTAATATCGCGAATCGCATTTTATCGCGCCCAAAAAAGTGCGCTATAAACGCAATATCGCAAAAATCGCGCGATATAATCGCATTGCATCGCCGCGATATTTATAAAATATAAAATAAAAATCGCAATCGCAAAATGTGATATAACGCGATTAGACATGGTTAAATCGCATCACATCGCGTTATATCGCATTTTGCGATAGCGATTTATCTTCTTATTTTTTTAAGAATATCGCGGCGATGCGATGCGATAATATCGCGCGATATTTGCGATATCGCGTTTTTATCGCGCTATTCTTTGCGCGATAAAATGCGATAAGCGATAAAAAGATATCGCGCGCGATACTTTCGCGTTTCGCGTCGCGGAATTTCGCCAGCAAGGGGAGGGACATGGGCGAGGGCCATGAACTTAGCGAAAATAGATGGTAAGCTAGTCTAGGTTTCTCTTGCTGAATGGCGCGCGGAAATGGCAAGCGGCAGTTTGGGGGGGAGGAGTTTGTGTGAGGAGCAGAGCTTGGAGCACATTAGAGGAAGGGTTGGAGATTCTAGAAGGGAAGGAGTGCAGTGTGGTTGAGGGAGGGGAGTTTGGTGGGGGTTCAAATTTGTTATGGTTGGCGGTGGTGGGTGGTTGGCGAGTGGGTTTTCTGGATGGGATGTTGTGGTGTGCGGTTGAAGGGATTTAGGGGGTTGGACTGAAATCTCGACCCCCAAAGTCAATTGATTGGAACTCCAACCAATTTCCACCACTTCAACCGCACTAAACTCCCCTGCATCTACAGAATCCAACCCCTTCCCCTCAAACACGCTCCACATGAGAGAGGGACCAAGATATTCCCATCTCCCGTCAATTCACTTACCTAATTCCGCGTGAACCTAGGAGAGCCACCATTGTCGTGCCCTGTGGTGTGGGAACACGTTTTTTAGGGCGGGAAAACAGTGGCCCCTAAATGCGATGCGATATTATATCGCATCGCGCGATGCATCGCTTTTTTTAGGCGATATTTTTAAATATCGCCCCTAAAACGCGATATGCGATTTCGGTTTTTTTTTTAACATATCGCAGCGATGCGATTTCGCATCGCTGCGATATAATGCGCGATAAGAAAGAATGCAATGCGATATCACATCGCATCACGTTTTGACCATGTCTAAACGCGATGCGATGCGATATGACCATGTCTACGGCCAGTCGGCCGATGACCTTGATTAAGAAGGAGTTGAGGAGGAAATGTGGAATGCTGCTTATGTGATAGCACAGGGAATGTATTCCGTACACATTCTTGTTTTCTAACACAGGCAACATACCTGGTAGACCGCGCTTATGACGGCCAGTCGGCCGATGCGCTTGATTGATCAGGGAGTTGAGGAGGAAATGTAGCATGCTGTTATGTCGCTACCCAAGCGGAAATGAGGCATGGCGCTGCAGCAACATACATACATACCTGGTAGACCGCGCTTATGACGGCCAGTCGGCCGATGAACTTGATCGAGAAGGAGTTGAGAATGCCACAGAAGATGATGGCACCGGCTGTGATGGCAAAGGACTGGTAGTTGGTCAGCAGATAGCCCCCGCCGTTAGCCCCTCCTGGTGGGGGGAGAGATGGGAGGGGGAGAAGGAAAGGGGGACATTAGAACACAGCAGCACCGGCTGGCGTGAGGAGTCTATTTTTGAGGCGCCTCAAAGAAAGGGGGACATTAGAAGACAGCAGCACCGGCTGGCTGTTATGGCAAAGGGCTGGTAGTTGTTCAACAGATAGCCCCCGCCCTTGGCCCCTCCTGGTGAGAAGTGGGAGAGAGATGGGAGGGAGAGGGAGAGGGAGAGGGAGAGGGAGAGTGAGAGGTAGAGAGAGAGGGAGAGAGGGAAGGGGATAGAAGGAGTTGAGGAGGCTGCAGAAGTTAATGGCACTGGTTGTGATGGCAAACGACTGTTATTGGCTCAAGAGGTAGGCAGCCCCAGGCTTAGCCCCTTCTGGTGGGGAGAGTGGTGAGAGAGGGGGACAGGGAGAGGATATGGGGTGGCGAGTAAGAGAATGAAGACAGCGGGAGAGAGGATATAAGCTTAATACCGAAGGACCAGTTGAGAGAAAGTCAAAAGGAGCATTCTTCTAGGGTTGAGCAAACTACCCGACCGGGTCGGGTACCCGGTACCCGGACCCGCTTTTAGGGCGGGTCGGGTATTTGAAATCCTGTAAAATACCCGGCGGGTCGGGTCCGGGTTACCCGGGCGGGTATTTGATACCCGCTACCCGAATTTCTACCCGACGACGCGGGTAGCGGGTACCCGCCGGGTCGGGTATTACATACCCGAGTTCGGGTAAATACCCGAAGTCGGGTCGGGTATACCCGACCCGAAATCGGGTCGCGCTGCTACCCGTCGGCAGCAGCGCGACCTAAATTGCGGAGGGTTGGAAATTTCGACCATTTGGTCGAAATTTCCAACCCAACTTTCCAGATCTAGTTTCGTTCCGTCCCTACCATAGACGCGCCACCTTAATAGAGCGCCCACATTAGTCTAAACACTCCCCGCATCCTAAACGTGTTCTCCCAACATTACTTAGGGTTTAGGTAACACAAAACGGAGGCGAGAACTTGGTTGCGCGTGGGAGTTAGGGTTTTGGAGATCTAGAGTTACACGAACTATTCGCCCACTCGAAATCCTTGCCGTAGCGCATAGTTTAGGGTACGGAACTGTCCCGTCATGCAATTCTACGACCGTGACGGGCGTCCCGTCCCTTTCGGGGGCGGGAGGGTTGAGGGTGGCGGGCTCCAGAGCGGTGCCATTCCTGGAGCATCTCTGATAGGCCTCCCTCTCCCTAGCGGCCGCCAGAGTTTTGCATTGGCGAGCCGTGTCCGTGCGGATGAGGGGGGAGAGGACGATGACTTCCTGGAAGAGGTGGAGGCGGGCGATGCAGGAGGGGGGGAGCATGGGGCAACCCATGGGGGGGGAACGGTGGGCAGGGTGGTGGAGGGGGGGGGGGGGCGAGGGTGACCAGGAGTGGCATCCCAATGCGGAGGAAGAGGTGGACGAGGTGTCAGGAGATGGATCGGACAAGGGGAGGGGGAGGGGAAGGGGGAGGGGAAGGGGGAGGGGAGGGCGAGGGGGAGGGGCAGGGGAAGGGGGAGAGGGAGGGGAAGAGGTCGCGGCCGTGGTGGACCTGGTGGGGGGAGGGCAGGGGCGATTGGTGCCGGCAGTGGCAGTAATAGTGCGGGGGAGATGGAGGTCGGTGGTGGGGATGCAGCGCGCTTTGGGGATGCTGAGGGCGTGGGGGAGGGGGTCATGCGGAGTGTGGTACGCTTGCGCCGGGGCGGCCTGTCACCCCACGTGGGGGGGGAGGGGGCACGGGTGGACAGCATAAGCGGTCGCGAGCGAGCGACAGCTCTCAGGTGACAGTCGGTTATTGGGGTACTGTCCCTGGGCTTATGCAGGGGATGTTCTTTCAGCCAGAGGGGGAGGATGGGGCGCGATGCTGCAAGGTATGCGAGGTGCCGATCGGTTGGGGTGAGAGCAGCACTGGTTCGGCGTGGAAGCACATGCGCTCGTTCCACATGCCTCACCTACAGATCTGGTATCGCCTATTCACTGATCCCAACAAGCAGCCGGGGTTGGAGTTTCCGGCGAAGGGGTACCCGGGGGTTCTAGGCGGACCAGACCCGTGGGAGCACGCTGACGCATACCCCGACCTCCAGAGTGCGGGCACGGGCGGTTCGGGTGCGAGTGTCGATGCGGGTCAACGGCAGATCCCTCAGTTCTTCGGTCGTCGCGTCACGCAGGAGCGTCTGCGCCACGCTCTCATCGAGCTGTTCGCAGACGCGGCCCTTCCGTTTCGCCTGGTCGACCGCCCCTCGGTAAGAACTGACAGAGACAAGTTTCTAAGCACATGCGCTCGTTCACATCTGCGCATTTTCAACCTCCCACGTGTTGTTATGGATTATCACCCCGACCATGTATAGCGGCACTTCTGCACACGTCCACCTACTCCCCCTTCCCCCTCCCCTGCCCTCCCTTCCCCAGTTCCGCCGCTACACCCGCCTCCTCAATCCTCCCGCTGCAGAAATGCTCGGCTCCCGTTTCCGCCTCGCTCGCGACATGCTCGTGCAGAGCGAAGCCGCGCTTGAGCGCCAGCTGCAGGACATTGTCGGCGATGGTGCGGTGGGGAAGGTCTCCCTCACCACGGACATTTGGTCCAGCCCGACGCAAGATGCTTTCCTTGCCGTCACAGCGCACTGGATCACGACAGACTTTCAGCTGCGCCAGGCGCTGCTAGAGTTTGAGGAGATTCAGGGATCGCACACCGGGGTGCTGATTGCAGAGACATTGGAGACAGTCATACTGGATTGGGGGCTGAAGGACTCTGTGCTCGGCATCACGACGGACAATGCCGAGAACAACATCAAGGCGCTCAAGATACTGACTGGCGATCCGGAGACCGAGGACGCCCGCAACCCACCAGTGTTGAACCCCGGAATCTTCTTCAGGTGTGTGGTGCTGCCATGCCATGCCATGCCATGCCATGGACTTTCCTCCTTCAGGTGTCTGGCGCACATTCTGAACCTCGCGGTCCAGAAGGCACTTGGTGTCCCAGCAGTCCTCGAGCCGCTCAAGCGTATGCGGGAGATTGCATCGTTCATTGGGTGGAGCACGACGCGCTCGGACGCGTTCGAGGACGAGCAGCTGCGACTGGCAGGTCAGGGCGGCCACGTTCTCCGCCTCATCAGCGACACCCCCACGCGGTGGGGGTCGTCCTTTGAGATGGTGGAGTGCTTCCTGAAGCTGAAAGATCCTATCTTGCTGTACTTCTCAGGACTCGAGGTATGGTTCCCTATCTCCTGGAATGCCATAATTCGCGTGTTTTTTTTATTCCATTCTAAAATGCTGACAGTCTCCCAGGTCCGCCCATGCCTATTACCCTCCCCAAATATGAGTTTCCCCCTCTGCTACTGCATGTTCCTCTGAATCCCCCATTCCACAGTCGGCACGTGACAAGCGGACGCGCGAACAGGCTGCGCGTGTCCGCCTCGCGGACGCGCATTGGGACGCTCTGAGGGTTCTGGTGGAATTCCTCAAGCCCTTCCATGACATCACTACTGCGGCAGAGGGGTCGTTGTACCCCACTGCCGCAGCAGTGGTGCCGCAGTACAACCTGCTCATGGATGAGCTTGAGCGCCTCTACCACGACCCAAGTACCGGGGAGCTGTGCAAGCTGTTGTCGGAGGCAGCTCTAAAGGTACTGAAGAAGTATGTGTACGGCATCAGCATGGAGCTGGCAGTGGCGACATTTTTGGATCCCAGGTTCAAGCAGCTGTACTTCCAGCTTGAACGGTGGGAGGGGGCCCACCCTCAGCTAGCGGGAGAGGCCGCTGGGGGGCGTAGGGCGGTGCGCGACGTCACATTGGAGCAGGTGGTGACATGGGTCAGGGCGCGCTTGCAGTCTTACCTGGACGAGCAGAGCAGGCGTGCGGTGGACGGGGGCCAGGAGGGGACGAGCACAGGGGGAGCGCGGGACGGGGGGGGGAGGAGTGTTGCCAGGGCCCGAGGTGGGGGGCGCTTGTTTGACATGCTCGGCTCGGCAATGGCAGAGGTTGAGGCGAGAACGGGAGTGGCCGCGCCGGACGAGGTTCAGAGGTACCTGCAGGAGGCGCGCTTGGACATGGACGGGTGTCCGCTGCAATGGTGGCGCACGCGCTCGTCGTACCCGGGGTTGCAGGCGATGGCACGAGACTACCTTGCCATCCCTGCAACCTCGGCACCGAGCGAGCGGGCGTTCAGCCAGGGGCGGAACGTGGTCACCTGGCAGCGTCACCGCCTGAGCACTGCTCAGGTGCGTGCATCCATGACTCTCAAGTCATGGATGGCACAGCGCGCCGACGGCAGCCTCCCACTGGCGACGTTGGATCGGGCCATGGGGGGGCTGTGCCTTGAGGGTGACGACGAGGGGTTGTGAGGCGTGGGTACAGGGTTAGCCCCTATGAACAGTTTTTCCTGTGACGTACATTCGTGTCCTTGCTTGTGCCATGCCCGGACCCAGCATTGAGCTGTAGGGCCATGCAGACATGGCATCCTGCTTATCAAGTGATTGTGAACGTACGCAGAGTGAAATGTGTGCACTTAATTCATACTACGTATATCTACATCCAATGAAAACGAAACCCGAGGAAGCAACACAAGTAAGGTGTAGCGTGGTGGTGGCAACAAACCCCCTGAAATGCGTGCCAATTTTTTTTCCCATGACCACATTGCTGTCTCAACCCTAGGAGACAGTTAGACGAATACAGGCAAAAAAAAAAACCAAAAAAACACCTCGTTTAGGCCTTATTGAAAGGGCGGGTAGCATTACCCGCCTTTAAGCTATGCCGGGTCGGGTATACCCGGACCCGCCTGGCGGGTATTAAAATACCCGCCTAACAAAATCCGGGTCCGGGTAAGGGTCGTGAACATATTACCCGACCCGGACCCGACCCGAAATTACCCGACCCGAGGTCGGGTATAGCAAAACCGGGTCGGGTCGGGTAATTACCCAGTTTTGCTCATGCCTACATTCTTCTCTTCTCTCTATGCCCACCATTAGACATGGGCAGCATGCCGAGCTAAGCTCGGCTCGACCCGAGTCGAGCCGGGTCGAGCCGGTCGAGCCGCGCAGCTCGGCTCGACTCGTCGCAAATTTCAGGGCGAGCCGAAGTCGAGCCGACTAGACTTTGGCTCGACTTTGGCTCAACTCCCGAAGCGCGCGGCTCGCCCGTGGGGGGTAAAAATTCGACCTCTCTGGAAGTTGACAATCCATTCTACGTTTTCGCCATCGAGCCTAAGCGTACATCTGAGCTATTTCGCCACCCTACCCTGCCCTCTCTCCTCCTCCACCAACGCCGATACTTCAGATTTTTTTCGACTACCTTTTGGTGTTGTAGGAAGGATGTAAGGGCTTAGGGACCTTCACCTGCAGAACCTTTACAGCGATCTAGCAAGACCTTTTCAAAACCTGCAGAAGAAACCTTTTTGGCGAGTCGAGCCGAGCCAAGCCAAAGTCGAGGCGACCCTTGGCTCGACCCTGAACCCCCGAGTCCAACCAACCATTTTGGGCCAGCTGGCTCGGGTCGAGCCGAGTCGGCTCGGCTCGACTTTTGCCTGGCTCGGGTTCGAGTCGAGCCGAGTCGAGCAAGGCTCGGCATGCTGCCCATGTCTACCCACCATGGGGAATGTTCCTGGGAGCAGTACTGCCACCATGGGGGCACCATGCACTACTGCCTGCCAGGGCGTGTTGTGCAAGGGGGCTCTGCTCTGATACCAAGTAAAGCAGGGTGAGAGTACCTGTGGCAACGAGCACGGTGTACTGTAGCATTAACACACCGCCATACGAGACGCCGCCCAAGCCCACAGAAAGGCCAAGAAACTCCAACCACCCCTGGAGAAGGGCGAGGAGAAGGAGAGGAAGGAAGGATCGGGGCGAGATGAAGGGAAGGAGAATGCGAGATATGGAGGTGGGGGAATAGTGGAGGCAGATGTGGGGGTGCAGCATACACATCGGATCAGACCAGAAAGTAGCATGCCATGTCTTTAAAACTGCAACCTTCAAAACCAGTCAAGTCACTTTTGAAGCCAGCTATTCAAGCAGCAAGACTTGAAGTGATTCAGACTACAAGCACCCCCTGAAGCCATTAAAGCTGCAACACTTGAAGCCGTTCAAACTGCAACCCCCTCAAGCCCTTCAAACTGCAACCCCCTCAAGCCGTTCAAGCAGCAACACTTGAAGCCCTTTGTACCGTGATCCAAGCAGCAAATGGGCCGTGCTTTGGCCCAGCCAGTGCTGCGGACCAGAAGTAGAGCGACCCGGCCACCTGAGGGGAGGGAGAAGCGAGAGATTGAGTGCGATAGCGAAAGAAGGGAGAGTTATGCTCTTGGCTCGCTTCTGATGAGTTGTGCTTTGGCCCAGGCAGAGCTGCGGAGCAGAAGAAGAGCGACCCGGCCACCTGAGAGGAGGGGGAGAGAGAGATATGGAAGGGTATTGAAAGAAGGGAGAGCGAAAGATTAGGAAAATCCACTGACAAGGGTAGGAAGACAGGAAAGGGGGGGGGGAGGGCTGACTCGTCTAGAGGACAGAAGGAGGGGCACTCACAAGGAGAGGAGGGGGGACTCACAAGGAGAGGAGGGGGGACTCACAAGGAGAGGAGGGGGGACTCACAAGGAGAGGAGGGGGGACTCACAAGGAGAGTGGGGGGGGCCCCCAAGGAGAGGAGGGGGGACTCACAAGGAGAGGAGGGGGGACTCACAAGGAGAGGAGGGGGGACTCACAAGGAGAGGAGGGGGGACTCACAAGGAGAGGAGGGGGGACTCACAAGGAGAGGAGGGGGGACTCACGGGGAAGGAGGAGGAGATGGGGAAGAGGAGGCACTTAAAAAGAGAGAGGGAAGGGGCAAGGGACTCACGGGGCAAGGGACTCACGGGGCAAGAGGAACTCACGGGGCAAGAGGAACTCACGGGGCAAGAGGAACTCACGGGGCAAGAGGAACTCACGGGGCAAGAGGAACTCACGGGGCAAGAGGAACTCACGGGGCAAGAGGAACTCACGGGGCAAGAGGAACTCGCGGGGCAAGAGGAACTCGCGGGGCAAGAGGAACTCGCGGGGCAAGAGGAACTCGCGGGGCAAGAGGAACTCGCGGGGCAAGAGGAACTCGCGGGGCAAGAGGAACTCACGGGGCAAGAGGAACTCGCGGGGCAAGAGGAACTCGCGGGCCAAGAGGAACTCGCGGGGCAAGAGGAACTCGCGGGGCAAGAGGAACTCGCGGGGCAAGAGGAACTCACGGGGCAAGAGGAACTCACGGGGCAAGAGGAACTCACGGGGCAAGAGGAACTCACGGGGCAAGAGGAACTCACGGGGCAAGAGGAACTCACGGGGCAAGAGGAACTCACGGGGCAAGAGGAACTCACGGGGCAAGAGGAACTCACGGGGCAAGAGGAACTCACGGGGCAAGAGGAACTCACGGGGCAAGAGGAACTCACGGGGCAAGAGGAACTCACGGGGCAAGAGGAACTCACGGGGCAAGAGGAACTCACGGGGCAAGAGGAACTCACGGGGCAAGAGGAACTCACGGGGCAAGAGGAACTCACGGGGCAAGAGGAACTCACGGGGCAAGAGGAACTCACGGGGCAAGAGGAACTCACGGGGCAAGAGGAACTCGCGGGGCAAGAGGAACTCGCGGGGCAAGAGGAACTCGCGGGGCAAGAGGAACTCGCGGGGCAAGAGGAACTCGCGGGGCAAGAGGAACTCGCGGGGCAAGAGGAACTCGCGGGGCAAGAGGAACTCACGGGGCAAGAGGAACTCACGGGGCAAGAGGAACTCACGGGGCAAGAGGAACTCACGGGGCAAGAGGAACTCACGGGGCAAGAGGAACTCACGGGGCAAGAGGAACTCACGGGGCAAGAGGAACTCACGGGGCAAGAGGAACTCACGGGGCAAGAGGAACTCACGGGGCAAGAGGAACTCACGGGGCAAGAGGAACTCACGGGGCAAGAGGAACTCACGGGGCAAGAGGAACTCACAGGGCAAGAGGAACTCACGGGGCAAGAGGAACTCACGGGGCAAGAGGAACTCACGGGGCAAGAGGAACTCACGGGGCAAGAGGAACTCACGGGGCAAGAGGAACTCACGGGGCAAGAGGAACTCACGGGGCAAGAGGAACTCACGGGGCAAGAGGAACTCACGGGGCAAGAGGAACTCACGGGGCAAGAGGAACTCGCGGGGCAAGAGGAACTCGCGGGGCAAGAGGAACTCGCGGGGCAAGAGGAACTCGCGGGGCAAGAGGAACTCGCGGGGCAAGAGGAACTCGCGGGGCAAGAGGAACTCGCGGGGCAAGAGGAACTCGCGGGGCAAGAGGAACTCGCGGGGCAAGAGGAACTCACGGGGCAAGAGGAACTCACGGGGCAAGAGGAACTCACGGGGCAAGAGGAACTCACGGGGCAAGAGGAACTCACGGGGCAAGAGGAACTCACGGGGCAAGAGGAACTCACGGGGCAAGAGGAACTCACGGGGCAAGAGGAACTCACGGGGCAAGAGGAACTCACGGGGCAAGAGGAACTCACGGGGCAAGAGGAACTCACGGGGCAAGAGGAACTCACGGGGCAAGAGGAACTCACGGGGCAAGAGGAACTCACGGGGCAAGAGGAACTCACGGGGCAAGAGGAACTCACGGGGCTAGAGGAACTCACGGGGCAAGAGGAACTCACGGGGCAAGAGGAACTCACGGGGCAAGAGGAACTCACGGGGCAAGAGGAACTCACGGGGAAGGAGGAGGAGATTTCGGCCATGGAGAGAGCGATGAGGTGAGTGAAGAAGACGGTGATCCACCAGTACCACACGATGGCCACCGGGCCGCCGTTCACGTACGCTTGGCTGTAATGGACGTGATCATACCGGGGATGATTATAGCGGGGACAGGCAGAGCCATAGGGGGACACGACGGGGACAGGGAGAGGTGGGCGAGTGGCGAAGACAGTGATCCATCCACCACTACCACACCATGGCCACTGGCCCGCTGTTCACCAACTCTTGGCTGTTACGGATGTACGTATAGCAGGATGTTGATAGCGGGGACAGAGAGAAGACAAAGGGTGGGGTGGGCGAGTGAAGACGACAGTGATCCACCACCAGTGCCACACAACGGCTGCTGGCCCGCCGGTATTAAGTGCTTGGGAGTAACGAAGGGGGGAAATGGCGGAAATGATATTAACGTGGCCATAGGGCAGAGGGGTTGAGTGGGTGAAAACGACAGTGATCCACCAGTACCACACATATGCTACAGGGCCTCAGGGCTGAGGGAGAGACTTGTGAGGCGCTGCACGCATGGGAAGAGTGGGGAGGAGGGAAGAGGGGGGAGGAGGGAGGAGGGAAGTGGGGGGAGGGGGGAAGTGGGGGGAGGGGGGAAGTGGGAGAAGGGTGGAGGAACGCAAAGCATTGGAAGGGAGGGGGGGAGTGGAACGAAGAATGGGCTGTGTGGGTCAGGGGGTGTTTTGAGGGGGGAAGGAGTGGAATGGGGAGTAGGGGGGGAGTGGGGGGACAAGAAGGGGCCTGGGGGGGGGGGGGGAGGGGGGAGGGGGAGGTGGGGTGGGGGGGAGGAGGGGGGGGATTGTGCAGAGGGAGAAGGCGGGTTGATTGTGAGCGGATATCTTACCCGTAGTAAGGCACACTGCCAGCGCCTTACGCACCTAACTCAATACGCAGCTTGGGGTTCCCCTTACCCATAGTACGGCACGATGCCAGTAAAGACAGTGACGGTGGACAGCCCGATGGAGAACAGCTCGAAGAATCCCAGCGCGCGCTTCAGCTCCTGCTTGTATCCCAGCTCGTTAAGAAGCTTCTCGCCAGAGTCAACCTCCACCGTCAGCTGCAGCCCGTCCTCCAGCATAATCTCCATCGTCTCGCCCACACCGCCGCCGCCGCCGCCTTTACCGTCCCCCCCCGCGCCGCCCGCCGCAAGTCCGTGACCGCCGCCGTCCGCTTTTCCCGCCGCGCCGGCCGTCGCGTCGGCGTCCCAGTCTTCCGTCATGACCAGGTCGTCGTCCGCCGCCGCTGCGCCGTCAGCTTTGCCGGCCGTCCCCGCGTTTCCCGGGACGTCGAGGCTTCCGCCCGAGTCGCCTCGAGTGCGCCATAGGGCGCGCCGCCCTAGAACCATGGCTGATAGAAGCTAACGGCCCCGGCTTGACCTCAGCAACGGTTGTTTAAGTGTCAGTCACTAAGCGCGCGTCCGAAAGCTGTCACCTATCCACTACTTACGTAAAAGAAACACTTTTGACGGGACTTCCAATGGCGAGTTGGCTAACTAAGGGGAACGCTTTGACCTGGCTCACGAAAGCCAGTCACCTTTTGGGACCGTCTCGAAACACGAAACCACGAACCATGGACTTTGGCGACGCTCGCGAAGGGATTCGCACGATTCGCGCACTCGCGAATGTATTTTCCTTAGGAGAGAATAAGTTAACCTGTGGTTGGAACTTGCACGACGGCCCCTACTCGTTCAGTATGACAGATACGTCTAAGCAGCACCGCGGTTTTGCACTCATAATGTTTTTTTGAGTCGACTCAAAAGTCAACTTGCACGACGGCCCTACTAGTTCAGTATAACAAGCCTAAGCAGGCGGGGTTTCACTTATAATCTAAGGATCGTCGTCAGTTGTTCACCGGCGGACCCTTGCGAAAGGCGACTAGCTCTGGGGCTCAATATTCGACGACAAAACTCGTGCGGTCGGAAAGCTCCTAGAAGCTTTGGCTAGGTAGTTGGCTCAAGCCACAAAAAAAACGCGAGTCTTTGGTCTGGAATCGAGTCCTCGACCTCTCACTAGAGCTTTATCTCAGGCAAGCCAATGTGAAAAGAGTCTTTAGTATAGACTGCATACCATAGGCGCCAAAGAGAAACGAGAGAGTGACCGCGATGCTCACTCGCGTGCCGTGAAGATAGCTAGAACGTGATCCGCGTGCCTGTGCTTGCCCTGATGACCGTGTGTTACGGTATGTGAGATCGCCGCCAATCTTTGTTGCGCGGCATGAGCACTTGCCAACCCACCAGTCACGGCGGTAACTGCAGCTGAAAACAGGTTGAACAGCACAATGCCCTGTTGTGTCGTCGAGCTACCGCATCCAAACAATCAAACACCCCTTCTGAAAGGTCCGAAACCGCGCTGCATCGCTCTCTGACTTCTTTTTTCCCCCCACACGTGATCGGCCATCATCAACGCCGAACAAAGAGGAGGGGAGCGGAGCGGAGGAAGCGGAGCGGAGGAAGCGGAGTTGAGGAAAAAAGGGGGAAGGAGAGGGCGCGGGAGGGGGGGGGGGGTTGTGTGTGGGTGGGTGGGGAGTGAGGGCCCAAATTAGTCACCTCTCGTCGTATTCCCAAATGATTTCAACGCGACCACCAACGGCAACACAACACACACCCACAGGCTAGAAAAAAATGACGAAAGAAATTGACGAAAGGAAGTGGCGACTCGCACTCTCTCTACACCTGCTCGACGCTAATAAAGACGGTTTTTTTCATGAGGCTCGGGCCTGTTCCCCAGAAATTTCAAAACACGGGCAAACGGGACATTAGCCCGGAAAATGCACAGTAACTCTCGTGCAAAATGTCGAACATTTCGCGCTGAATCTGGGGGTTAATGCGGTTCAGCTCGGTACCTGGTGTTTGGTACTGAACGTAGGGGGACACGAGGAGGCGAGAATTGCAATTGGGACCCTAGGGGTGACAAGATCTGGTGGGAATTGCAATTTGGACTGTTCGTCTGAGAACCATATCGTAGAACAGGTGTACAAGCGGAGCACGGACTTCGACCTATCACCGTGCTTTATCGCTCTCTAGTGCACTGGATCTCTGAGTTCTGATTTTCTGTACCAAAGGAACCGATTACAATCGCGAAAAAATCTCTTCACATCGAACCAATGAACAAACCCACTTGTTTTTGCAAACTATCAACGCTACAGTAGCTTGGGGCAATTTTGGTCTGGTTCTAGACAGGGACTGCACGAGCTGCACAATCCCGCCAGAAAGAACCAGCCCAAACTGACGACAAAGCAGTCGATTTTCGCAGCTGGAAACTGCTAGATACGACAAACGTCAGCCCTGAGGTAGTAAATGACTGTAATGCGACTGTAAGGGGGACGACCTGAGGCACAATTGATTCATGAGGTTTAATGTACAAGAGCCAAGGGCAGGCCCGTCCATCAGAGAAGTGCATTGCACATTCACACTTAACTTCACGTTGCAATGCAGTCATGTATGGATTCTGTTCCACTGTTACCATTTTGTTTGCAATGTCTCTCAGAGGGACCTCCCGCCACCCCTGACCATTATCAATGAACAGTAAGATTTTCAGAAGTTACAAGTTGTTGGAAATATCTCAAGGACTTAAGCGTTTCTGAAGTGTAACACCACACTCGAGGAAGATCGTAACGGGTACGCGAGTCAACGGAGGTTACACGAGGGGATGGACAAACAACACGAAAGGACTCGAAGGGTCGCAACTGGAGGTTGCGACTGACAGTTACAACTGCAAAGATGGTAACCGAAGCGACAATCGAGTCGCTGTGCGACTCGATAAACCGCCCTTTCAACTGTATTCTACAACTGCTTTACTTTCCCACTTTCTATATATTGCTGTATGCTTGTTCTTTTAATCAATCACTTGTTCTCATATACTAGTACAAGGATTCAACTACCTCAACTTCAGCTGCACTACTCAAGCTTTTTACAACTGGCACTTGGTCTCTAGAAAGATCCTAAGGGCTTTTCTCAGCCCATCATGGTATGAGAGCTGGTCAGAGACCAAACTCCCAGCAACTACGCTCTATCTACAATCAGCACATCAACGACTTCATTGATTACAAGTCATGGACAGCAAGGGCAAGAAAACCTCTACGGGCTCACCTAGTGCCCAAGATACTCAACCCGGCAACTCTGGACTGCACACTTCAGGACTGCAAACCGAGACCGGCGCTGCTCAAGAAACAATAGGAAGAGCACCAGAAATGGTGACCCCATCACCCTCTTCAAGCGTGGACCCGAACCTTATGGAAAGGTTCTTCAGCTTCATGTCACACTTCGACCAGCAGCAGCAGACAAGGACACCTACGCATTCAACACAAAGCAACGGAGGAAACATGGGATTAGCGCCAATGAGTCTCGACAACTCATCGTTCGGGCGACACAATCAAGCGCCTACCTTTGCGCCTTATCACTCTTCACCGGGGACGTTCGAGTTCATGCCGCCCCGTGCCCAACCAACAGCAGCTGCATCACAACAGACACCAAACGGGATTTTAAGTCTCCGGGCGCAGTTTTCATACGTGATTAAACTGCAGACATCCTCACCATTCAACGGACACGATTTCTTTACCTGGAGTTTTGAGTTCGAGCTGCTGATGGAGGCTGCGCATCTCTTGGGATACTTCAATGGGTCCCTGCCATTCCCAAGTAACGGCACCACAAAAGAACAAGAAATTTTCACTTATCAGTCGCTGCTGGCGTACACAAATCTCCTACAGAACCTGTCACCACAAGAATAGCAAAGCATCAGAACGTATAGGAGCTACGGAAACTCCGCGGAACTCGCATGGCATCACCTCAAGTGCCTCTATCAAGCAAATGACAGCGTGACACAAAGCAGACTCATGCAGCAGCTGACAACAATACAGATGAAGACCGGGGAAAAAGCGATGCAGTATATGAGTCGATGCCAGACACTCCGCGACCGCCTGGTTCGGTGCGGAGGAACAATCACTGAAGAAAGTTTCGTGACGCTTGTCCTCGCTGGGCTCGGGCCAGAATGGCGAACAACCCGCTCGCTCCTTCGCGCCCACGGACGAATTTCGGAGATGCACCTCTGCGCCGAGCTCCATGCTTAACAACAAGAGATGGACCTGTTTGAAGAAAGACAACCAAGGAAACAACAACCATTAGTCTTCTACACTCAACGAAGACACGACAACAACTACAACCGACGCGGCAGGCAAGATCAACGCAACAACAGAAGACTCACCATTGTACCGCCGTTCTGCCACAACTCCCAAACATCCGGACACACCAAAGTCAACTGCACACGTCCCCGAGCTTATCGTCCAGTAGACCCACAAGTCGCTTCCACTCAAGTAAGTCCGCCGAGGCACTCTTCCACATCTGCACAAAATACACCGAATATCATCAACTGCATGGTACACATCGACAACTGCGCACCCGGCTCACCGCCAACTTACGCCCTCGATGAAGAAGAACTATCGCCGCCGCGCTCACAGGGACTTCAGGTCAACCCAACGTACGCTGCAGTCGCGAACTCAGAACCCACCGGACGCAACACTTGGTTCTTGGACAGCTGTTGCGGCCAACACATGTGTTCTTCTGGGCGGTTCGTGCAACGAGAACGACGTCTCAACCGAGACGTCATCATCACCGTCGCCAACAACGAGAACCTGAAGACAAACAGACAAGGAGTGGTTCAGTTACAATCCATGGAGACAAACGTTATACTGCAACTCAACAAGGTCCTCATCGTCAACAACTTGGGATACAACTTACTAAACGTCAGCCAGTTAATGGCAAAAGGAATTCACCTGGAGTGCGACTCGGACTCCAACGAATTTCGCCTATACCACAGGAAGGGCGGTCTCTTCATCGGTCGCGCTCTACTAAAGTCCGGCGTCTTCGTGTTGGACTTCGTCCCCGACCGCGGTACCGCCGATAGCGATGGCATCGTATCATTCGCCGCATGGACGCACCCACCGGACCTTGACCCCGACTTCAACCAAGATGGATACTGGTACTCAAACACCATACCTGCAGCAGAGAGAACACGGGCGTTAGCAGTCATTCGACAAGAAAGACAAGTACCGGCAAGCGTCTCTTCATCGACATCACCTGAATTCACAGCAGCATGACCCAGCAGAGTATCACCACAGGCAATCCGAGGACCGCCAACCGAAGCAGATCAACTCATGCCCACCACACGCGAAGTCTGCCGAAGTCCTGCCACCGTCGTCGCGTTCTTCTCCAACACCGACATGTATCACCGATCGCCCGGCCATCGAGCTCCCGACGACATCTGGCATCAACGCCTTGGGCATCCTGCAAATAGCATGGTACTACAAACCATCCAAGCCGAAGTGTTAGAACGAAACACTCTCCTTACAATAAGCGGACAGGAACTTCGTCGACCTCGCGCACGGTGCTTCACATGCCTCGAAGCATATCTTCAACACCAACCTTTTTCGTCACATCACAATCCAAGTGCACCTGCATACGCACCGATGGAAAAGGTTTACAGCGACATCTTAAACATGCCTCGAGACGACACTGAAGCCGACTTCAACTATGTCATCACGTTCATCGATGCAGCAACAAGATATGTCTGGCACTACAACCTCAAGACGCGGGATCAAGCCTTCGAAGCCTTCACGACGTGGCTCCCCATCGCTGAACGAGAATCAGGAACCAAGCTCAAGAGCTTCCAATCGGATGGTGCACTGGAATACCAGTCACAACGATTCAGGAACTACTTGGCGGAAAGAGGAATCAGACGCCTGGTGTCCCTGCCCTACGCTCACCAGCAGCAGGGAGTCGCAGAAAGAATGAACCGGACCTTGCAGACGACGATGCGAAAGCTGCTCCTGGGGATGAGACTGCCCAACACACTGTGGCCAGACGCGATGACACATGCAGTCCACCTGCACAATCTGTTGTCATCGTCATCGCTTCCCAACAACGCATCACCGCACCTGCTGTGGACACGAAAAAGGGGCAGCACAAAATTACTTCGAGTTTTTGGCTGCATGGTACAGTACAGACCCCACACAGCCCGAGCAGGACGCTTCACTCAACGAGCACGGTGGGGACTACACCTCGGCATCGCCAAACATTTTCACGCATGGAAAATCCTCGACATACAAGACAAAAATACGGTGGCATCACGTGATGTTATCTTCTACGAGCGACTGACGCTGCAGCATTACCTGGACAACATTGCCAACACACACGACCCCATCGACGGCCTCGCGGGCCTTCGTTCCTTTGCCGAACGTGCTGCCGAGGCTGACGCAGCAGAAGAAAACGTACCTGGAGCCTCGGAAGCTGCCGGACCACTCCCTTTCTGTTCCGTACCTGTTCCACTCGACGAAGACAATCCTCTCGATAGCAACAACCTCGACACCCTCTACCACTTCGCTGACCAAGGTTACGCTACACCTCACCCGGTCGACACGAATACCTCAGAACGCATCGGCCCCAACTTCTTACCTGATCCAGAAGATGGTGACGAAGCAGCCTATTCCGGGAATGAAAATTCCCCTCGACACACACCCACGGGACTGCAAATCCTCGGCTTATGCGTCTCCATCCAGCACCCGCCGCCGCCATCTCCGCGCGAGCCAACGACTCTGTCGCAGGCTCTGGGGGGGGAACATAAGGCGAAATGGAAGGAGGCAATGGAAAAAGAACTGAAAGCTCTGCAAGACCGAAACACATGGAAGCTGGTACCTGCAACGAACGTTAACGGGAAGAACGTTCTCTCGGGAAAATGGGTGTACCGCATCAAGACCAATGCGGACGGCTCCATCGAACGATTCAAGGCTCGTTGGGTCGTACGAGGATTTGATCAACGATACGGAACCGACTACACAGAAACATTCGCCCAGGTCTCTCGTCACACCTCCTTGCGCATCCTACTCGCCGTCGCGGCCACAAAGAAACTACCACTGCGCCAGATCGACATCGCAAATGCCTTCCTGTACGCATCTGTGGACGCCGAAATCTTCGTCGAGCAGCCCCACGGATTCATCGACGACCCCACAAAAGTATGCCAGCTGATAAAATCCCTCTACGGGATCAAGCAAGCCCCGCGGCTCTGGCACCAGCATCTTCACGGTCGCCTCGTCAGAATCGGATTCCTACAGCTGCCGCATGACCAAGGCATGTACCGACTGCAGAAGGAAAGAGAGTATATCCTACTCATCGTTTACGTCGACGACCTGCTCTACATCGGTTCCACTACCGACATCGCCATCTGGTTCGAAGGGGAGCTGAAAGGGGACTTGACACTCACGGTGTCCGACACAGTAACCCAGTACCTGGGTCTGAATGTCGTCGAAGACAACTCGGCGTTCTACCTATACGCTGGAAAGTACGCAGGCGTTGTCGCAAAGAAGTTCGGACTAACACCAACTACAGTCGCGACTCCCTACCGCTACGGGAACAACAACGACACCTCCGAAAAACTCCCCGCAAAGCAAATTCGGGAGTATCAGCAGAAGCTCGGCTGCCTACTATTCGCAGCAGTAACCTGCCGACTTGACCTATCCTACAGCCCAAGCCAGCTGGCGACGCATCTAAAGCAGCCGGAACAAGAAGATCTCGAAGAACTAAACCGGGCACTACTCTACTTCGTCTCTACGCCGACGACCGGACTTACCTACAGCAAAGCAACAACACCATCCGTACAACTACTCGGATACGTCGACGCCGACCACGCGGGGGACAGGGAAAATCGATGATCGAGAACGGGCTACATCTACCGACTAGAGCCCATCGGGACTATCTCGTGGCAGTCGAGCAAACAGGAACTAATCGCACTATCTTCGGCTGAAGCAGAATATATCGCCCTCTGCACTGCGACCAAGGAAGGACTTTACCTGCGAGAGTTACTCGAGGAAGCAAAGATTGCGACCCTGCCCGTCTTCTCACTCCTCTGCGACAACCAATCTGCGATCAAAATCGCGAACAAGGACGGCTTCGCCAACCGAACCAAGCACATCACCCTGCGATACGTCTTCGTCAAGGATGAAATGGCGAAGGGGAGACTTCAACTCAGTTACTGCCCTACGACAGAAATGGCCGCAGACTACCTGACGAAGAAACTGGCGAAGGCAAAGTTCGATTACTGCATGCTGCTGACTGGGCAGACAAACGTCACCGGATCTGAACACGTCAGCACTCCAGAAACGAAGGGGAGTGTTGGAAATATCTCAAGGACTTGAGCGTTTCTGAAGTGTAACACCACACTCGAGGAAGATCGTAACGGGTACGCGAGTTAACGGAGGTTACACGAGGGGATGGACAAACAACACGAAAGGACTCGAAGGGTCGCAACTGGAGGTTGCGACTGACAGTTACAGCTGCAAAGATGGTAACCGAAGCGACAATCGAGTCGCTGTGCGACTCGATAAACTGCCCTTTCAACTGTATTCTACAACTGCTTTACTTTCCCACTTTCTATATATTGCTGTATGCTTGTTCTTTTAATCAATCACTTGTTCTCATATACTAGTACAAGGGTTCAACTACCTCAACTTCTGCTGCACTACTCAAGCTTTTTACAACTGGGACTTAGTCTCTGGAAAGATCCTAAGGGCTTTTCTCAGCCCATCACAAGTTGTGCTATGATCCTTGCCTGCTATCTTGTAAGCAATGTAGAACAAACCTACTTCGTCAGCAATAGCCATCAGTGTGCATAGCTTCCTTATAAGGGAGCTCTTCCGCTGTCATGTAACCGTTCGTGGCCTGAGAAGAGACATAAAATTGGTACAGAACACATGACATGATTGAAAGAACCAGACCAACCAGGACCAAAGAAACACCCCAATGGAGACAAACACGGGGCAGTGGAAAGCTGTCATGCTTCGGAAATGAACGTTTTGGTCTTGATGAACGCAAAAGAAACAGGCCTTCAAGCGAACCATACGTGCGCATCACTCCATCCACTTACCAGGTCATGTTAGTGTAGGAGCCGTTCATCCACTATAAGCACGTCTCTTGCTCGTCAATCCAAAGCTGCGAGTCAGCCCCTTGCTCACCCCCAAAACCCCACTGGTACCCAAACCCCCAATTGTGCTACCACCAAACCCAGCCCCAAGCCCCCCACCAAAACCTCCTCCCCCAAACCCCCCACCCCCCCCAAACCCTCCTCCCCCTCCTCCTGACTCCCCCCCCGAGGTATCTGCCGGGGGAGCGACGCAGGTCTGGCAGAAGGAGGGGCAGAGGGTGCTGCAGAAGTAGTTTGGGAACTCGGAGGCCGCCCTTGATTTGAGCTCAAGGGAACATGGGGTGCTGTCAGCCGGGCATGTGAGAGTGCTGTCAGCTAAGCTGCCAGGGGAAGATGCGTGGGGAGAAACGTGAATGGGGGGAGACAGGGGGAGACAGGGGGAAACATGAATGGGGGGTGGGGGGTCTGGACAGTCGGACAGAGCACCCAAAGAGAATTTGACAATGATGAAGACGTTGAGTTGTCAAAGAAGAGTGGAAGAGTACAGCCGCTAAGGTATGTTAACAAGCAGGAGGGAGTGAGAAAAGGGGCAGGGAGGCGGAAATAAAGGAGGGAGAGGAGACATGCAGCAGCATGCCTGTAGGAATGTTGAAAACCCCCCCTAAACCCCGAGCACCTCTGCACCATAGCCGCCAAGATGCTTGAGTTGAAAACAGATAAGAGCGTGGATGTGTCGAGAGCATATCACTCACACCGCTGTGCCATGATCACCTCACCAAGATATGGCAGCAGCTTTTCATTTGCCTCAGATAAAGTTGAGTTGGGAGCAGCACTCACATCATTGCATTGTAGTCACCAAGGTATGCCGGAAGCTCCCCCCATAAGTTGTTGTCTGATAAGCCCCTGAGTCAGAGCCAAGGGAAAATTGTGCAAGTGGAAGGGGGAAGAGAGGACAAATAGGTTGTTTCTCGATACGCCCCTGAGTCGGAGCCACGTGATAAGCAAGTGGTGCATTCGGTAGGCAGAGGAAGAGAGGGGGACATAGAAGTTGTTTCCTGATACGCCCTTGATTTATAGCCAAGTGAAAAGCAAGTTGCGCAAGTGGTAGTAAGGAGTAGAGAGGGGGACATATATGTTGTTTTCTAATAGGCCCCCTGTTCATATACCAAGAGGGAGAAGGGTTGAGCGGGGGAGAAAATGAGGTGGAAAGAGTTGAAGGTATGATAGAGGATGGAAGGGTCCTTTGCAGTATCGACAGAGCGCTCTGCTACTCAAAATACTCGCACCAAGTCAGTTTCAAATGATTGAGACCACTTAAAAAGAAAAGAATGGAACAAAAGTGATGCTGAACAAAACAAAACAAAATGTTACTCGAACAAAACAATGGTTATTTCACCCAAACCCGGGTACGGATAAAAATGTTTAGCTTCGCATAATTTCGTATCCGGGGATTTCACTCCTCCCAAAGGTATTCGTAACGCGCACCGAGAGGGGGTACGCGGATTTTACCCTTCCGAAGGAATTCAAAACGCGAAGACGCGGTTTTCAGCCTTTTTCTCGACATGAGTCAGTGCGGTACTAATTGCAGCTGAGAATAGGTTGAATAGCACGATGCCTTGTTGTGTCGTCGAACTACCGTATCCAAACGATCGAACACCCTTTGCAACAGTCCAAAACCGCGCTGTATCGCTCTGACTTCTTCCCCCACACATGATCGGGAACTAGCCATCAACGCCGAAGAAAGAGAGGCAGGGAGTGAAGCAGAGGAAGCGGAACTGAGTTAAGGAATGAGGGGGAGTGATACCGCGTGTCAGACGGTTGGTACAGGGTTTGCAAGCTGATCCGAGGGACAGGTCGATCTAATGGTCACTGCGCGACCGTTGACGCCAGGACCTCCAAAAGTGTCGCCAGGTGGCTCTAGCGAGGTCACGCGAGATTTGTTAACTGTTCGTCTGTCGCAAATCTAGGTCGTGGGGAATTTCAATTGGATAAGACTGTTTCGCGGATTTTGGTCTGTCAATATAGGTGACACTGAACCTGACTGGTAGACGCGGTTTTCACCGGTTTGAGAGAGTGGAAAATATTGCTGCCAGCGTCTAACTCCACTGACACCCGGGCAGTCTGTGCTCCACGTATCAGGTAGGGCTGTACCACATGCTTGACTCATGTTATAACTTTGCCCCAAGACGGGAGGGGAATGATTTCAACACGACCAACAGCGGCAGACACAACACCCACAGGCTAAAAGAAAGTGATGCTCTGCGACTCGCACTCTATCTACAAACGAAGCAGGGACTTCGACTGTGCACCGCGTCTTATCCCTCTGTGATGCATTGGATCTCTTGTTTTGGGTTTTCTGTATCAAAGGAACCGATCATAAGCGAGAAAACCTCTCCCCAGGTGGACCTAACGAACAAACCCACTTGTTTGAAAATCATTAACTCTACAGAAGCTTGGGGCAATTTTGGTTAGAATTTAGACAGGGACCGTACGAGTTGCACAATCCCGCTAGAAAGGACCAGCCCATACTGACGACAAAGCAGTCGATTTTCACAGCTGGAAACTGCTCGATACGACAAATGTCAGCCCTCAGGTTGTCAGTGACTGTAACGTGATTGTAAGGGGGACGACGTAAGTCAAAAGTGGTTCATGAGGATTAATGTACATTAGACAAGGGCAGGCCCATCCATTAGAGAAGTGCAGTTCACATTCACACTGAAATGCCGAAAATCAAACGTCACGTTGCAATGGTCATGTACGGATGCTGTTCCACTGTTAGCATTTTGTTTGCAATTTCTCTCAAAGAGACCTCCCGCCAGGGCTGACTTTTCAAAAAAAGGCACTCTGATTTTGCCCCACAAAAAATTTTCCGAGTGTGAAGGGTCATTTTTCAAAATTTCGCTACTCTGAAATCTCAGTGTCCAAGATTTAACGAGTCTGAAATACTCAGGGTTCAGAATGTCGACTCAGAGTCCTGTGCCCAAGTCGAATCTTGTATTTGCAGATTTCACACAGTCAGAAAGTCACCAGTCCTAACCACTGGAACGAGAAGGGATGTCATCAGGAGGGTTAGACTCCATATATCCACCTTCTCCGATGAAAGCCTCCCCAGTACCCTCCCTAGAGATAGAGAGAGGATCGACAGGGTTATCCCAGTGCCACGACACACCCCCCCGCTGGGATAGCGTGTACACCAGGAATTGAACCCCGGATGGCTCTGATACCAAGTCAGAAAGTCACCAGTCCTAACCACTGGGACGAGAAGGGATGTCATCATGAGGGTTAGGTGTTAAAATTATATATTGAGTTATATAATTGTTAGGCTTGGTAGGTTACCGAACTTTAGTGTAGAGGGTACAATCCCCTCCTTGTATGCCTCTCTCTTTCTATTCCAACCCCTTTTCTCTCCTCAACTTTTCTCCTTCCTAAACCTCACGCCACTCCATGGCTCCTCCTAGCTTAACCTCACGCCTTTCCTAGCTTCCTAGCTAAGCTAGCCTTTTTAACATTAGGCTCCATATATCCACATTCCCCGAGGAAAGCCTCCCCAGTACCCTCCCTAGAGATAGAGAGAGGATCGACGGGGTTATCCCAGTGACACGACACACACCAGGGTCTCAGATTCGTTGTATGGAGGTTGATTGCTCAGGCCTGCCCTTATGAGAACCCATTTTTGTTAGCGTAGTTTTTATTTGATTGCCTGAAATTTCAGGCTGAATTTTCCGTAAAGTTGACGAATCACGCCTGGGTTTTGAAACGTGCTATATCAGTGACGATGGCTGCAGTTCGCCGCGTAATCAAAGGAAAAGTTTTGTTCTCAGGAACTGCCGAAACCCCACCAACTTGCTGTATCCACGCAGTTTGTGCTAACGACAAATCACGTCCCTCGCGCGCGCCTGCTCTAGCCTTCCTCGGGCAACCAGCGTGATACAGTACTTGGTCAAAGGACCAGTCACGCTCCTCATAATTGCTCCTAGGTACAGTACCTCGGACTTTTGCATGATTTTGGTCTGACGGCCAATCACAGCCTCACACCTGCTCCGGGTACGGCGAAGCACGTCGAAGGACAATGCGTGTACAGTACAGCAGCAAGGAGTTTGTCTGTGATGGGTCCTTGCAAGTGTGTGATTGGTTGTTGAGGGACTTGTGCTACCCCGCTCAGAGGACTTGACAAAAAGAATCAGGGGAAAGGGGGTGCGGGGAGAATGTCTCTAAAAATGGAAGACTTGCCGATTTTTGTGGGTGTTGGGGGTGTTAGAGGGGTGTCTCTAGAACAGGACTTCAACGATTTTTATGGGCTGCTGGTTGTGCTGGGGGGAACTGTCTCTGGCTGCTAGGACTTAGCCAGATTTTTTAGGTTGCGGGGCGGGGTGTGTGAAAGGACTTGACTCTGGCCGTTGGGGATTTTGACGAAATTTTTGGGTGAGGGCAGGTACCGTATTAGCCCGGATGGAAGACTCATGGGTCTTATCACATACCGTTAGAAAAAAGCCTAGAGTGTCTTATAAATGGGAAAAAACAATATATATGGGGGTCTTATAAACGGAACCATCGTAACCTCACCGGAAAAAACCTCGTGTAGTTACATCAGAGTTCTGTGAACCGTTCTCATATTGAAGATGTCATTAAGGGGCCTATTTTGTTGGCGATAAGAGTTTAGGCTCAGTTGGACACGTGTGAGATGCAGCAAGTGAGGGACGAGGGTGTGTTGGCAGGTATTCTGCAACCCTCATCAACTGTACGTCACGTTTCAACCATCCCAGCCGTTTATCTGGCGTTAGCTCACACAAATCCAGCGGATACGATGGGCTGTCACATGATGCGTCAGCAAAGCGTCCTCAGCGAGGACAGATTCCTCTACGGGGAACCACAAAGTGAATTGTGGCAGTGTTGTCGGAGGTGGGTGGACCCCCTCTTCTGCTCATTTGCATCTCACGTTCTCGAAAAATGCATCAGCCTAGTGTGCCTCTGCCTGCCGTGCCTTAGCCATAAGTGGCTTAGCGAGATGCGTAGCAAGCACCGTCCGCCATGGAGGGAGACTCATGGCGGACGGCGCCCTTCAGCAATTAGTACACCACCAAGGGTGTACGTCAACATTTTTCGCAGAGTTAACTCCCCTGGCGACACCATCAACGGTAATGTCCGGTCTATCCGAAAGGCCTCTGCGAGTCGTTCACCCTGCCGTGATTCCCCCCTCACGGCCTCTAACGACGATGCAGACGATGGGGGCGCCGACGCGGACGGCTCGGCGTGCAACGCCGCTGACGACGAAGACGAATGCATGGCAAGGCCCATCGGATCCGACGATGAAGTAGAAGAATGACACGCGGGCATCAATGCTGGCGGAGGGGATGGTGCCGCTACAGGCGACGAGAACGCCTGCGGGGTGGGTGACGATGCGGCTGACGAGAACGCATGCGGGGTGGGCGACGATGCGGCCGACAAGAACGCGTACTGGGAGGGTGACGATGTGGGCGAGTACCCAAGCGGTGAGGAAGGCAACGATGCGGACTACGACGAGGCTGACGATGCTGCCGACGACACGAGCGACGAATCGGGCGACGCTGCTGACGATGACGATGACTTCGATGCAGTAGCGGTGTCGGCGAGGCGATGTCGTGGCGGGGCAAAGCTGCGGAGCTCGAAGCAGATGGCTGACAAGATGGAACGCGTCGAGTGCGATGCCGCTAACGACGACTCGACCGATGAGGCGGGCGGCATGTCCAACGAGGACATGCCGATCCAGAAACGTCGTGTTCTCTTCGAGGTGCATGGTCGCAAGCGCCAGCAGGACGGTGCTGACAACGACGAACACGGGGGAACAAAGCGAAAGAAACCGACCAAACAGTCCCAAGCAAAGCGTGGACGGCTGTCGAGGGAGGAGAAAGGGAAAGCAAAATCCCAGGAAGAGCACGGCATCGGCAAACGCAAGCGAGCCGCCGGCAACGACATGCGAAAGTCCGCCAAGCGGAACACCAGCCATCCGAAAGGCGATATGGCCGAGGAGAACTCTGACGACGCCTACGCGGAAGCGGCTGGCCCCATCCCCGTGTTCCCCGAAGGCAAGAGGCCCAGTGATCCAAAGACCAAGAACCCCGACGCGCAACCACCCTCGCCGCGTAGTAAAGCCAACAAGAAGCAGCGACGCAGCTTCACGGTCGGCGAGAAGGCGCGGTGGGCGCTGCGGTATCACGAGCTGGGGTCACTCATGCGGACGGCACAAGAAGCGGGCGTCGGACAGTGCTCCATCCGCCGCTGGGTGGAGGCAGATATGAAGGGAAAGTACAAGGGGGCTGCGAAGTGCAGGAAGAGGCTGCATGGTTCTGGCCGGCACGCGCATCACCCCGAGATGGAGGAGGCGCTCGCCAAGTACGTCTGTGAGCAACGGAGTCGGGGCCTGGCGGTCAGCGTCAATGGCATTCGGGAATGGAGCCGAAAGTACATGCGCAGACGCGACCCGCATACCAGGTGGCAGGGGTCGAACCGATGGAGCCAACGGTTTCGCAAGCGGTGGGGATTCACACTACACTGCCGAACGAAGGTTGGGCAGAAGCTCTCTCCAGGTAAGCTTCTTGTGTCCTGTGGGTAAGTGTATGCCTCTGTATCTGCGTTTGTCTCTGTGCTGAGCCTTTGTTCTCTGTCTCTGAATCTGTCTGTTGTGCAAAGTTTCTGTTCACTGTCTCTGCATTCGTCTCTTGTGCAGAGACGTGCCTCTGTCTTGTGTCTATGCGCTTGCTAAGGCCACTCCGCCCCTGCCCCTTCCCGCCCACCACAGAATGCGCCGCGGACTGTGAGGGGTTTTGGAAGTTCGTTCGCATCAACCGTGCCCATCATCAAATGGACTTACGCCGCATAATCAATGCCGATCAAACTCCTCTTTTCATGGAGATGCCTGCTGGCCGGACGTTGGAGCAGAAGGGGTCCATGCCCCCTTCGGTGCCTCTTCGGTGCCGGTGAAGACCGCAGGATACGAGAAGCAACGCTTGACCGTGATGCTAGCATGCACGGCCAGCAGCGACAAGCTCCGGCCGTGGGTATGGTTCAAGCGCAAGACCATACCCAAATGTGTATGTCCCTCGGGTAAGCCTTCCACATCTTGCTCTCCATGCACTCCTGAACCCTCCTATGCTATGAGCGTACGACCTGCTGTTTGACTCACATAAATCCGACTTGTGCGTGCGTTCTGCAGGGGTCGAAGTGCAGGCGCAGGAGAACGGCTGGATGGATGAGGCAGTCATCAAGAAGTGGCTGGAGAAAGAGGTTCTCCCCTTTCTCAGCCTGAAGCGTGGGGCGCCAGCGCGACGTGCCATGCTTGTGCTAGACTCGTACCGTGGCCATCTCGCCGATGGGATGAAGCACGCGTACTGGACGCATTGCATCATCCCTGCCATCATTCCGGCTGGGTGCACTCCCCTGATTCAACCCCTTGATGTTTCCATCAACAGGTGTTTTAAAGCGGGGGTGAGGGCATGCTATGCAAAGTGGTTTGCAAAGTACGGCATCAACCTATGCACGGCCAAAGGTACGCCAGCAGTTCTGATCTCTCCCCGCCCGCATCCCTGAATGCACGCCGCCCGTGACCTTGAATGCACCTTGCCCGCATTTCTGGCTTCTTCCCTGATGTTCTCGCTCGAATCACTTGCCTGTCAAATCCGTGACTGATGCCTGTGCTAGTGCTCCATGAAATCCCTTCTCGAGGAAACCTGCGCCGCCCGCCCCACCCCGTGGTACTGAAGTGGATTGACCAAGCATGGCGCGATGTGCCGTGTGACATCATCATGCGAGCATTCAAGACATGCGGCATTTCAAGCTCCATGGATGGTACAGACAACTACTTGGTGCTCCAGCACATGTGTGGGGAGCCAGCTCTCAACGTCTCTGAAGACATGTCTCTGCAAGGGTCGAGTGGTGACAATGCAGGTTTCGTGGAAGAGCAGGAGGCAGAGGAGGGGGAGGCGGGAGAGGAGGGAGAGGAGGGAGAGGAGGGAGAGGAGGGAGAGGAGGGAGAGGAGGGAGAGGAGGGAGAGGAGGGAGAGGAGGAGGAGGAGGAGGAGGGGGGTGAAGCGGCGGAGCCAGGAGAGGAGGATCCGTACCCAGAGACTAAGAAGTGCCGTGGCGCAGCAGCAGAAGCCGAGAAGCTGACAGAGCAAGAGAGCACTGCGAGGCATGCCTGGGGGGTGCTAGATTACATCAAGCACCCCCCAGGAGGATCAGTAGATGAGGAGGAGGGGGGCTGTGATTTTAGTACTATGGAGACCCATGAGGATTTCTAATAGACTACTCTTGTCCTATCTGCATTGATGACTGAATGCATGGAATTTTGCCATACTAGCAAGATCTTAAAAAAAAGAGGGGGGGGGGGGGAGTCTTATCTCATACCACCCAGTGAGGGTCTTATAAACGGAATGCCATAATACAAGATAGACGCCTACTATAAGACCCAGGGTCTTCTATTACTAGGGGGTCTTCTATCCGGGCTAATATAGGTAGGTATGTCTGTCTCAGGGTCCGTACGCGCTATGCTCAGTATCCACAGACTGCCAAGTCTGAGATTCTCAGGATTCAAAAACATATAACTCTGAAGGGTTCAGCATTCAGAAATTGGCAAGTCTGAAATCAGGGTCGGCAAAAAAGGTCTGAAATTTCAGACAATCAGACTAAAATAATCTGATAAAATCAGGCCTGCCTCCCGCCACCACTGACCATCACAAATGAACGGCTACAATTTTCAGAAGTTACAAGTGCTATGGTCCCTATCTGCTACCTTCTTGTAAGCAATGTAGAACAAACCTACTTCATCAGTAACAGCCATCAGTGTGCATAGCTTCCTTATAAAGGAGCTCTTCCGCTGTCTCCTAAACCTTTTGTGGCCTGAAACGAGACACAAAATGGTACAGAACACATGACACGATCAAAGGAACCAAACCAAGTAGGAACAAACACCCCAATGGAGTCGAACACATGGGGCAGCTTCAGTAATAAACATTTTGGTCTTGATGAACATAAAACAAGCGAAGCAAAAGTGCGCATCACTCCATCAACTTACCAGGTCATGTTAGTGCAGGAGCCTTTCTTCCCCTATAAACACGTCTCTTACTCGTCAATCCAAAGCTGCGTGTCAGCCCCTTGCTGACACCCAAAACCCCGCTGGTACCCAAACCCCCAATTGTGCTACCACCAAGCCCGCCCAGAAACCCCCCACCAAAACCCCCTCCTCCAAAACCCCCACCCCCCCCCAACCCTCCTCCCCCTCCTCCTGACTCCCCCCCCGAGGTATCTGCCGGGGGAGCGACGCAGGTCTGGCAGAAGGAGGGGCAGAGGGTGCTGCAGAAGTAGTTTGGGAACTCAAAGGCCGCCCTTGATTTGAGCTCAAGGGAACACGCAGTGCCGTCAGCCGGGCAGGTGAGAGTGCTGTCAACGTTGCTGCGAAGGGGAAAGGGGTGAAAAAGGGGGGAGGGCGATGCGGGTCTGGCAGAAGGAGAGGCAGAGGGTGCTGCAGAAGTAATTTCGGAACTCGCCTGCCGCCCTCGATTTGAGCTCAATTGAGCACGAGGTGCTGTCAGCCGGGCAAGTGAGAGTGCTGTCAGCTAAGCTACCAGGGGAAGATGCGAGGGGAGAAACGTGAACGGGGGGAGACAGGAGGAAACATGAATGGGGGGTGGGGGTTGGGGGGGGGGTCTGGACAGTCGGACAGAGCACTAAAAGCGAACTTGACACTGATGAAGTCGTTGAGTTGTCTCAGAAGAGTGGAAGAGTACAGCCGCTAAGGTATGTCAAAAAGCAGGAGGGAGAGAGAAATTGGGGGGGAGCATCACTCACATCATTGCACTGTAGTCACCAAGGTATGCCGGAAGCTCCCCTGATAAGTTGTTATCTGATAGGCCCCTGAGTCAGAGCCATGTGGAAAAGCAAGTTATGCAAGTGGTAGGCAGGGGAAGAGAGGGGGACATATAAGCAGCTTCCTGATGGGCCCCTCATTCTTGTCCAAGTGAAGGATCAGCTTGGGACGAAGGATGAAGCGAGGGGATTTGGGAAAATGGGCGC